TTTTATTGATTTTTTACAGAGAGGAAGGGAGAGAGATAGAGAGCTAGAAACATCGATGTGAGAGAAACATCGATCAGCTGCCTCCTGCACATCTCCCACTGGGGATGTGCCCACAACCCAGGTACATGCCCTTGACCGGAATCGAACCCGGTACCCTTGAGTCCGCAGGTCGACGCTCTATCCACTGAGCCAAACCGGTTTCGGCGAGAAATTCATTTTTTTAAAAAAATAATTTTATTACAGAGTAAATCCATTGTAGTTTAGTATAGTAAAATTAGAAAATATATTAACAAAAACTTTAAACCCAGGGTATCAGTACCTATGATAAATGTCAGTTTTCCTATGTGTATGCAGCTATGCATAATGTAATGTCACCCACTTTCTTAATAATTTGTCTTGATTGTCTGTCTTTCTTTGTCAATACATGTAAAGTTTTATAATTTCAAATGCATTTATAACGTTTCATTGCATTTATTTGAATATCTCTTACTGTTGAAAATTTAGACCACTATTAACTTTTCAGTATTATCAACTGTGCTGTACTAAATTTCCTTAATCATTTATCCCTATATATTAATTTTTTAGGATAAATTCCTATAAATTTTGCTCAGTCAAATAATGTGTACATTTTTGAAACTTGTCTTTAAAAAAATTTTTTTTATTGATTTCATAGAGGAAGGGAGAGGGAGAGAGAGATAGAAACATTAGTGATGAGAGAGAATAGATTGGCTGACTTCTACATTCCTCCTACCTGGGATCAAAGCTGCAACCTGGGCATGTGCCCTGACCGGGTATCAAACTGTGACCTTCTGGTCCAGCTTTAACAGAGTTGCCTTAATAACTGATAAAGGAATAACCTACATGTTAAAAAGAAACAACTAGTTAATTCCAGAATAGGCAGGAAAGGAACAGAACTTAGCAATTAAATTTGATATTATATAAAATACTTAAGGAAAAGAAAAAATGTCATGATTAACTAAGTTTTAAAAAGCAGAATACTAAACAATATATTTAATATAATCCCAATTAAGCAAAAACAAAAGTTAGTATCTTTATATACAAGGGGGAAAAGAAAGAATATACATCTAAAAAATTGTTGTGGTAGTTATGGTGATAGTAGTACATATTTTATTCTTTATGATTTTTCTATATTTCCTGAATTTTCTATAATGAACATTTTTTTAAATGCACTTTTAAGCCAAGATTACAAGAAGAATATTATTAGAAAAATAATCATAATATAATACTGACTGAAAACTCTTTGGTTATATCCATTTCAAGAAACACATGCCCAGGGAAAAGACTGGAATGAAAGACACCAAAATTCTAACAGTCTGTATTAAAGCCATAATGACAATTTATGTTTCCCCTTCCTCCATTTTCCCTGATGCCTGGCAATGTGGTAATATTATTTTATTTAAAAATTAATGGTTTGCCCTAGCTGGTTTGGCTCAGTGGATATAGCGTCGGCCTGCAGACTGAAGGGTCCCAGGTTCGATTCGGTCAAGGGCACATGCCCGGGTTGCAGGCTCGATCCCCAGTAGTGGGTGTGCAGGAGGCAGCCAATCAATCAATCCCTCTCATCATTGATGTTTCCATCTCTTTCTCCCTCTCCCTTTCTCTCTGAAATTAATAAAAAAATATATATTTTTAAAAATTAATGGTTTAAAAAATTTGAGGTAACAAAGACACAAAGGGAACTGTGCCGCAGAAGTTTTAATTTCGTTTTGTTCCTGCTTTTATGTAACAGTGACACCTAGTCACTGAGTCCCTTAGCCTCCTTCCCTAATTTGTAAAATGGGCCCTCTACCTGCCTGGGCCTCTCCTCTCCCCACAGATCAATAAAACACAGAGCCTGTTCTGACATCAGCATTGCAGTTCACCGAAGGGTAGGACTGGTCCCCCCAGGAATGCTCGCACCCTTTCTGACCTGCTCGCCTTGGATGGTCGGTGCTGTCCGGAGGCCTGTTTTGCATCCAGTGATGCCAACTGAGGTCTGCTTGTTGCCATATCTGTGCGAAAAGGCCTGTTAATAAAGAAGGCAGAGTGAGGTGTCTTACAGGAAACGTTCACATAAACTTAAGTACACACACAAGTCCTTCAATTATTTACTGCATCTCACCTCCATTTCTTTTTTTTAAGATTTTTTAAATTGATTTTTGGAGAGAGAGGAAGGGAGAGGGAGAGAGAAACATTGGTGTGAGAGAGAAACATGGATCGGCTGCTTCCTGTACACCCCCTACTGGGGATCCAGCCAGCAACCTTTCAGGGCCACGCCCAACCAACTGAGTAACATCAGCCGGGGCATCTACATTTCTTAGCAATTTAGAAAAACTGTTCAGTTACATGGTGAACATTCCTGAAATATAGCACCAATAAAATAAACTTATTTTTCTTTTATTCTAGTGCGCACACACACACACACACACACACACAAAAAGAACTGAAATCATCCCCCACAGCTCTCCATCCACACACAGCATTGTATCTTGTATATATCCTTGCATGTCTTTTCCCAAGTAAATCTACACATATATTTTTATATTTTACTAGAGGTCCAGTGCACGAATTCATGCATGGGTGGGGTTCCTCGGCCTGGCCAACGATCAGGGCCAATAGAGGCTGATCGGGGCCAGCTGGCCAGAGGGAGGGACCGCGGGAGGTTGGCTGGCCAGGGAAGGTTGGCTGTGGGAGCACACTGACCACCAGGAGCAGCTCCTGCGTTGAGCATCTGCCCCCTGGTGGTCAGTGCACATCATAGCGACCAGTCGTAACAGTCGCTTAGGCTTTTATATATATAGATTAAAATGGAATATTATAGTAGAGGAGAAAAAAGTTTTCTTTGACCCTCTTAGGGTCCCTGGTTGGGTCTGAAAAGTAAAGTTACAAAGACAGGTTAACAAGAGAAAAGCATATAAATTTTATTGAATTTTTACATGTACATGCGAGCTTTCACAAGAGAATGAAGCCTCAAAGAAGTGAACAATAGGAAGCTTTTATACCTGTTAGACAAAGAAACAATAAGTTTGTGAATAACTGACAAGACAAGGAATTGGGCTAGGAGTAGTAAATGGTGAAGAAGTAACTAGGAATATAAGGATTGCTTTAATAAGGTTTGTCTGCAGATTCTATGGGCTGATAGGTATCTGTCTCTAGTAAAAGAATTTATTCCCTGCCTTTATGCAGAAAAGGGAGAGCTTTTACTGCTTTTACTGCTTCTTAATTTGTTTCCCACATGGACAGGCAATTATCCCAACACCAATGAATAACTCATCCTTCAGCTACTCCTTAGCTTGGAAATAAGACAAAAGAAAAACCAATGTCCTTTCAGTGTCATGTTGGAGCACTAACAGGCCCACCCAAAGATATACCTTTGTTTGATTTGCTAATGACTATTGATTGAGGCCTATACTCTGTAAAATTATATGTTAACTTGTAGATTTTTTTCTGGCAAATACCCAAATAATTAGTCTGGTAAGGTTATGGTTTTATTGCCTTGTAAGATATTAACCAGTTTTAAATATAGCAAATCTTATTCCAACATTCTTTCTTCCATTCCCCAAATATTTTTGGAACCAGTTTTACCATCTTGCTGATTGATAAATAAATCTTTGACATTTGTTCATTGTGTAATTTTTACACGATGACATACTGAATAACACTGCAACTCTGTAACACAGGGCAAGTTTCCATATGTACACACGTCTGTTTCCAGGCATTCTTGTTCCACCCATGTATCTGCCTCTCTCTGCACTTTTCACTATCATGGCTTTCTTTATATGCCAAAGGAGCAAGCCCTCTACTTTATTAAATGTTCTTTTTCCAGGGGGTGGAGAGGGGACTGCTATTATTTTACCTTCAAACTTAGTTATAAATTTTAGAATAAGTTATTATAGAGTTACCAAAAAAAGTCCTGTCATGGTGTTTCCTGGGACTTCCTTACATTTCTAGCAAACTTTACAGAGAACTGCTATCTTTACAATATTATGCTTTCACATCTATACACATTTATTCAAGTCTTATTTCCTTCAATAAAGGTTTTTAATATCTGAAACACTGCAGTGGAGTACATGCATCCTTGCAAAAAAAGCCATGCTAAACGTTCCTTAAATTGCTTCAGGTTTAGGATCTGTTCCGCCAAAGTAAGTACAGTTATTAAACATTTAAATAGAAAGACTTGTCTGTTCCACCCCTGAGCATAACCAAGATGTTATACTGAGATGTTAGAAGAAACGTATTTTTAGCCAGTGAAAAATGTTATTTGGTTGACAGGTGCTAAAGAAAACATCATATTTCAATTACTGTTATGAGTGTGTTGGAAAATACATCCTCATTTTGCCCTGTATTTACTGCTCTAATTTATTTAAGTTTCTAAAAAAGCTTTATTGAGATATAATTCACAGACCACACAATTTACCCATTTAAAGCATACAATCAATGGTTTTTAGTATACTCATATTGATAGCAGTGTACAACTATCACCACAATCTAATTTTTAAAGTATTTTGTCACCCAAAAGAAACCTTGTATTCATCCATTAGCAGTCATTCCCCATAGTCCTTTGTATCTACACATTTGCTATAACTGGCTTTTTTCACTTAGCATAATGTTTTCAAGCTTCATCCATGTTACTGCATGTATCAGTACTTCATTCTTTTTAATGGCCAAATAATATTTCATTGTATGAATATAATACATTTTGTTTATTGTTTCATTTGTTGGTGGATATATGAGTTACCAAAAAAAGTCCTGACATGGTGATTCTGCATCCCTACCAGTAATGTATGAGATTCCCAATCTCTCCATATCTTGGCCAACACTTGTTATTGTCCATCTTCGTGTGGGTAATGTTATCTCATTATGGTTTTGCCTTTCATTTGCCTAAGGACTAATGATATTGAGCATCTGTTTAGGTACTTATTGGCCATTTGTGTATCTTCTTTGGAGAAATGGCTATGCAGGTTCTTTGGCCATTTGTTACTTGGGTTATTTGTCTTTTTATTTTTGTGTTTTATACTACTCTAATTTTTAATCATGAGGTAGAACTATTTTCAAATGAAATACTTACAGCTGTCTTTGTTTATACTTTTTCTCTCATTCAAGTCATAATTAGCAGAATCAATTCAAAATTAATTTCCCTAATAAATTCAACGCAATGTGCTATGTTCCTGCACAATAAAAAGCTAGCTCGTTTTGAAAAGCAAAAAATGAAGTAAAAATTTCAAAAATTATTAAAAGACAATATCCTTCCAGCTTTTCAACAAAGTTAAAATCTCTCGTTAAGGGGAGAAAAGGAATGAACAGAGATGGCCAACCGTTATGCTATGAGAGGCACCATTTATATAATCTACAGTCTGAACAGTGTCCACCGGCATTATGAACATAGGACTCCAGTGGATACCACCACCAGATTTCCAGGAAATTTATTGCTTAATATTATTGGCCATATGATTAGCTTGTCTTTCTTACTAAAGAAAACTGCTCACCAGACCAAATTCTGCCCAATCGGCAATTCCTTCAAATAGCCATTCTCAGGGCCACTGATCAGAGGCAGAGGGGACTGCTGCAGCTGCCACTGGGAGAGCAAGAAGAGCCCAGAAACTAGCAGGTACTCCCCCACGGACCTCTGACTGTCAGCTCCAACCCAGGCCTGTCACCAGTGCTATCAGAATCAAGGGAACGGAATTCAACATTTTCTCACCACTCCTGCAAGTGGAAACTCCCAACAAGACTGTGTGGATTAACTGACTGATTGA